GAGTAAGCTCACTGAGGAGGAGTCTAGACAGTTGTGCCCCAGCCAGTACGGCACACAGCTCTAAACGGGGAATTGACAGTTTCTTGCGGGGAGCTACACGTGATCTGGCCATGATAAAGGCAGTGTGGACCTCATGTTCTGCCGATTTAAATCTCAAATATGCCACTGCTCCGTAAGCACTCTCTGACGCATCACAGAATACATGCAGCTGGAAAGTTCCCTCTTGGGTTGCTGGGGCTGTGTAGCATCTAGGCAGACAGATTTCTTGTAGATACTGTAGCTCACTCACCCACTCTTGCCACCGCTGGAGTAACTCGCCCTCGATGGGATCATCCCAGTTCCTGTCATTCTGCCACAGACGTTGAACAATAACCTTTGCCCGGGTCGTGAAGGGGATGATGAAACCCAGTGGGTCGTATTGAGAGGCGAGGATGCTGTAGATGTTTCTCATGGTTGACTCCTGAGGAACCACTGGCCGACATCTGTAGGCAATCTGGTCTGTGGAGCAGTGCCATGCCAAGCCTAAGGTTGGTTCTTGGGGATCTGGTTGGTGTTCAGTCAACCACAGCTCGCAGGTAGGGGACTTTGCTTCAGAGGGGAGATGAGCAATGGCCTCTGGGTAGTTACTTGCCCACTGTCGGATTTCGAAACCACCAGTAGATAGCAACTCTCTGATGTTATCGACAAGTGGTCGTGCCTGCAAAGCAAAGGGCAGAGATTGCAAACAGTTATCGACATAAAATGAGCGCAGCACTGAGTCTAGTACTTGTTCATTGCCATCTTTATGATCCTGCACATGGCGCTGAAGGGCATACGTGGCACAACAGGGGCTGCATGTGGTTCCAAAGGGCAGGACACACCACTCATAAATGTCCGGGCTCCGATCTCTTTCCATATCTCTCCACACGAATCTCAGCAGGGGCCGGTCATGCGGAAGAAGCCGCACCTGATGGAACATACCTCGTATGTCCCCACTCACAGCAACAGGGTGCTCCCTAAATCTCAACAGGACACCTATTAAGGATGGACCGAGAGTTGGACCTGGTAGCAGCTGATCGTTAAGGCAGTCTTGCCTGTATTGGAAGGAACAGTTGAAAACTATCCTAGGCTTATTGTTATGATGCACAATATGATGGGGAATGAACCAGGATTCATCTGTGAGGTTTGCCTCTTCAGGAGTGAGTTTTCTTACATAACCTGCTTGTTCCAGTTTGTGTATTTCTGCATTGTACACAGCCGCTAGATCAGGATCTTTAATCAGGCGCTTCTCTGTGGACCGAAGGAGAGCCATCACTGCGTCATGGTCAGTTCGTAGTTTAGTGGAGTCTCTGCGGCGGAGCAGAGGAGTAGCATAACGAGCTACTCCATCCACCTGTACACGTTCTGTGGTTTTCTGCAGTAACTCCAGTGCCTCTTTGTCTTGTTTAGAGCGAGTTACCTCTTTCTCTGATCGAAAGGGGAGCACATCTAACTGCCACAGCTTCTCAACGTTCTGTCTTAGCGCTTGAGAAGGAGTTGGTAACAGGGATATGTGCAGACATGAAGCTTCAGTAGGTAGATGTAGAAAGGTAGCCGGTCCCTGGATGGCCCAACCGAGGTTAGTGTTGACAGCAACAGGGCTGCCTAGTGGACCAACTTTGACAGGTGACAGAGGGGTGATGAGCTGGACATTATCTGAGCCTATAAGAAGCATAGGCTGCACATCCTTAAATGCTTTGATGGGAACGTCGGCCAGATGTGGATATCTCTGACGGAGTATGTCCACTGGACAGGATTGTTTTGCCAGATTAAGTTCCTTAGCAGTGAAAACACGTCTGATGTGATGTTTGATTTGGGGAGAGCTGGGTGCACTTAGTTCAAAAGAAACGGATGCGCCTTGTAACTGTGACACCTCCTGCCTGATGGTTCGTAGTTTGAGGGATTCCTCTGTGATATCTAATTGCAGGTAATGAACCGCTGCAGATAAAACAATAGTCCGCTCTGATCCATCGTCAAGAATGGCATAGGTGGACAGAGATCGCCCATTATTGTGGAGGGTAACTGGGACCACTTTAAGCATGACTCTGCCTGAATGAGTGACTTGGTCCAAATACACCATGCTGGAGGCTGTACTCAATGTCAGGATACTCTTGTTTGAGCGAGAGGCAGCTTCATGAAGGATCTGCAGGTGTTGTTCTCCACAGGTGGCGCAAGGTTTCTTCAGATTGCAACTGTCAGGCTGGTGACTCCGACCACATCTCCAGCATCTCTTATTGTCATTAATCCATGTAATAATCTGTGTAGTACTCAGCTTACTGAAGTCAGAACAGGAACTCAAGTAATGTTCTGTACTGCTACAGAAGGGGCAGTAGGGCTTAAATTTCTCTCTTTTCTTCCCTTTCATAGGTTCTTTACTGTCAGTAGTGGCTGAAGTGGTATTAGCCGTCGGTGTTGTAGGCTTGTCAGTGCCATAGTAGACTGATGAGGATGTCTTTAATGGTCGTGATGACTTGTCTCTACGATCTGAGCGGGGTTTATCAGATATGTAGCTTTCTGTAGCCCTTCGTGATATCTGTATGGCCTGTGACTTCCTCTCCAACCACTGTGCAAAGTCAGGGAGAGTATAGGTGTTAGCTGAGTCACTCCGCAAGATGCCCTTTGCAAGACAATATTCAGCAAAACTGTCTTGATAGGAGAAGGGGAGTTTACTCAAAAGCCTGTCCACATGGGAGCCACACTCTAGTTCGCTCTTAGCAGCTCCTTCCATGGAGTTTAGTAGTCCCACCAAACTACTAACTGATAGAGCAAAGTCTTCAAACCCTTGTGCATCTCCAGCTTTCACTGTAGGAGCTCTCAAAATGTTGTTAATTTCACCTTGGACTAATTGGCGTGGTTGTCCATAGCGCTGCTGTAGAGCCTGCATTGCTTTAGTGAAGGGCATAGTGTCATGCACATACCTCTTTGCAAGCTGAAACGCAGGAGGAAACTTTAGATGATCCAGAAGTACTTGGAATTTGTAATCCTCAGACAGATGTGGGTGTGGTCCCAAAACTCCATCCAGACCTTTCTTCAGTAGCAGGAAATCACTTTCTTTTCCTGTGGTGAAGCGGATCAGGTTGGGTTTTGGGATGCCATAAGAAGAGGAAATAGCCATCTCCATCAAGTTCGGTCTCTGAGAGGAAAGCAGAGATGAGGAGTGTTGTGGGCTGCTCTGAATTACATCATGCTGTGAACTGACAGGTGGCGGTGCAGCTGGAGCAGGATGCTGATAGGTATACTGTGAGCTAACAGCAGGTGGCAGCACTGGTGTAACGTATGGCTGACTGAGAGGTGGGCCTGAAGTCCAAGGCGGATAACCTGGAGAGGCCATGCCAGGCGGCAGCGTGACAGGGTACTGCATAGTGCCAGGGATACTAAACTGAGCAGCACTGTGTGGCACAGACCACTGTGGGGTTGATGACTGCCAATTCAGGTCTCTTTGTTGATGCCAGGGAGGATGTGACTGATCTGTTGCTGTAAATGCAGACCGGGGTACCACTGGTGTTGGCTGAGCAGCTGATGGCATAGAAGAGTGGACGTATAGAGGGGGCTGAGGAATAGGTCGGTTAACAGGGAGAGTAGGAGCTGTTGACTGTAATATTTGAGGGTTATCAACATGATGAGCTGTGGAAGGGGAGGTCTGCTGTACAGTATGAAACTGAGGGCTAGGTATTACTGGAGATATGGGAGGCATGTTTTCTAGTCCGCCCATAGGAGGAGCTTGTGTAGGATTATTATCCAGAGTTAGTAAAGGCATACTATGGCTCCGGACCTGGGTTTGTAACTGTACTTGGGGGGTTCTTTGGCCAAAGTTCAAAGACACTTGTATAGCGCTCTGTATTTCCCTCATCTGCTCCTGTACCTGAGTAACACACTGCTCCATCCTCCTTATTCTCTCCATCTCTGGTGAGCCGTCGATGCCAGCGGTTTGGTGTATTGGAGTAGCTGCGTTAGTATTCGGTGGAACTGGGTTAGTCGGCTGTGGGGGATAGGTCCAGATGAAGTCATCCAGATATCTTGGAGCCCTATGTGGTCTCCTGTGCCGGGCACCTTGTTGTTCTTCATCATATCGGGATGTCGCCATGTTAGGAAATGCTGTAATTACTCCGGCTCGAAGGACCACTTGAACTGGACATGTGTGTGCTTAATAAACTGGCAAATTACAGCAGGATTTTCCTATCCTCGGTCAGAAGGCACAGGTGACTTATATGATGAAAGAGAGGGTCCACAGCAATGAGAATTAGGGTTCCTTCTTTCGAGCCTATACAGCTTGGAGTAAGACAACATGCATGAAGAGGATGATGTGGACAAAATACTCATTTGCCTAATAATTCTGCACTCCCTGTATACAAGAGACCTGGTTTAGAGCCCACCAATTTATCAACACTAGCCCCTTTCTTACCTCTAGAGCCTCTATCTGGTATAATAAGAAAATATTAGTTGGTAAGAAACCGTTCAGATGGGAGGTATCAACCAAGTGGGGGATTTATTTGGGCAAACTGGCATGAAAACGTTTGCGGAAATCAGACAAGAATTTAATCTTGATTAAAGGGAATTTTGGAGGTTTTTTCAAGTTAGACACTGTATTAAAGCCATTTTGAACAATAATCCAGACCCTTCATCTAGTATTCAGGAGGTGTTCACTGCTCCTGGCATCAATAGAATCAGAGAATCCAAATTTTATGGGATCTTCAGAGAGGAACACTCTCCCCATCTGGAGGGGCTGAGGCTGTGCTGGGAATTCAAATTTCAGAGGATAGTTGGAAGAAGCTGGTTTCAGTATTATTCTCACTGGAAGACAGAGACTATGGGTCCGTTTAGCTTTCATAACAGGATGCAGGATAATACTGAGGCACTGGAAGTCATCTAACCCCTGTTGTTTCAGGGAATGGACTGAACAAATGTCCAAGATGGCATTATATGAACAGGTTACGCACAGAGTTAAGGGGAGAGAAGATATTTTTGATCAGGTCTGGGGTACCTTTTTGTGGTACATCAACAATGTATCTTAGATAATGGGATAAGTTGTTTATTTCTTAGTTTATTTTTATTTGTCATTGTTATTGTTGTTGTTGTTTTTCTTTGACAGCCAGTAGAGGAAAGAAATTGTTTAATATAACCAGTGTCCAAGATCGAGTTTAGTTTCCAGGCTAAACTAGTTCCGTCCAGCCCTAATATAAACTACAGGTATATGTGTGTGTGTGTGTGTGTGTGTGTGTGCGCGCGCATGTGCGTGTGTGTGTGTACGAATACATACATACTAAGAATTCCAGTGGAGCTTTAAATGATTAATAAATAATTCAAAAGTCCAAAACCTGTAACCATGACATTTATATAGTGTCAAGCCTACATGTAACTGTCTTTTGATTTTCACCTTCCCGTTCTCATTATTTGATATTTTTCATCTTTTTTTCTCTGAACCTATTGTTGCCATGGCTTGAAGTTTCCTGCCAATATCTCCTATCATGGTTGCTTCTATAATTTGGACCATATCATTGCCAGACTCAAGTTGACTTTGGGTAACTCCAGGCCTCCTTCTCAACAGAGTGAACACCTGTGTGTTGTGTTGTTTGGGGGGCCACCTTACAGAAGACACAGACTCTGTTGTAAGCCTGATTTGCGCTTAATGCCATCGTTCCAAGGTGTCACTGACTCGCCAGTAGTCACTGCATTCTTTTCAGTTGTTACCAGATTTTTCCTTGTCAGTGATGTTTTTAGTGTGAGTCATGCATATCTTTCTCTTTCTCTAATAGTTACATCTTCAGACTGAGTTGTACACGTTTGGGCCAATGGGCCATTGGCTATGTGACCACTGATGGAAACATACTGCAGACCATTCCCAACAACAAACCGCTGTTCCAGGCTTTAATCGATGGCTACAAGGAGGGCTTGTATGTAACTTGTCACACATCTCTTTTTCTAACTCACTCTCTGCAGGTATGTGGTGAGCTTGTCGCTTTCTACAAACAGAAAGTCACAAATTGTATCTTCAGTGGTCACATCTGATTCGCTCTAAATGTTTAGCAGCAAACCAGAGATTTGCTGCTAATCTCTGGTTTATATATATGGATATAGCTTTTATGAAAGCTATATCCTGGATCAAGAAAGGGTTTTTGACCCAGAAGTGTTTATCTGATGTTGTCTGCTTCAATAAACCTGATAATATTAAAAGCCTTCAAAAAAGTTAGACATATATATTTAATTCAAGTGGTGGAAAAAACAGGTTATATTACTGATACAAACAGTACTACTAATCCATTTTTTCACTTTACTCATTACATAATTATACCCACTGTTTTTAACTAGACAGAATTCATGATTATTGAATTGTGCACAAGTTAAACTCTTATAAATATAACATATAATGAAATGCTGTTCTTTGTTGTTTGGTTGTTTGCTTTAAATTCACAGCTACTTATTCCCAGATGGTCGCAGTTACAATCCTGACCTCACTGGTTTATGTGAGCCGACACCTCACGATCACATCAAAGTCACACAAGTGGGTTTGTCTGTGTGGTTATGTGTGTGTGTAAGCATTTCTATGTTACTGGAAAAAAAACATGTATACGTGGAGAAATTTATAATACTCTGCAAATTTCCCACTTGTAATGGCACATAAATAATTGTGACATTTCGGTGATTAGTATGATTCGCCAGGTAGACTTTGTGTTTCACAGCATTCAGTAAATCGACATGACTCACAGCCTCTCCAAACTATTAAATGTTGAAAATCACTGTGTAAAAGTGTGGTATTAAATGAGGTAATACAAATCAATGGCTTTTTATACTCACTTCTGATTTATTACAAAACTGAATTTTCCATATAGTGTGACAAAAACTTTAAGTTTTCTAGAAGTGAAACCACATTTTTTCAATTTCAAAATAGTACATAAAAGTTGTTTTTAAACCACTTTTTACTAGTGGTTTGTTTATTCATTCATGTGTAATGGTGTAGTGTTCACTGTACTTTTAACATTTTAATTTTCTGAGAAAATTATTCCAAACGAGATCAGTTAGGGAATACTGGGAAACTTCAAAGGTGAATGACAGTTGCCCAGCAAGCAGTCTGCTTATTATTTATTTGTTTTTCCTGCACCAGCAAGAGTATTATCTGACAAGGCCACTTTAAGAAAGTTATCCAGTTCTACATCACCATCCAATGAGATCCTCTTTTTCAAATATTTACATCACTGCACAATTTCATGGAATTTGGCTTGGTAGTTTTTGCTTGCATCATTGAAAACATCACTGAAAACATAGCTCCACCAAGGCTTCCGCTACAAAAGTGATTTTCTTCTTGGTAGATTATTAAATGGTCACAATGGAAGTAATTTGGGAAAATTTCTCTAGAAAATGCTTAAAACCATTTTGGTTTATGCTACATGCTGACTCGGGTGGAAATTCTGATTATTCTGTGGTTTCAAAACTGTACAGATAAATTGTAGGTTTTTAGTAGCTAGCAGTTCTTACACAGCTATACCTGTTCTTGTACTTATTTTTCTTTAGTAATGGTGACAAATCAGACTTGGTTTTTCAGGGGGAAGCCTTTAAAATTAAACCAATAAAAATAGTCTGTTTCTGTGAATTTGGTGCAGCACCATTCACTATGAGAAAACATGTTTTTTTCTTTTGAACTGAACACTTATTCAGTTAGATCCCCAAATAAAATTTGGGACTTTAAAGATAAAAGGTTATGGAATAGCTCTGAACGAGTGAGAGAAGAAAAACACATTGTACAAGACGAGATGGGAAACGTGTGTTGTACGGATAGTGCATGTTTATATGTTTCTCATGACTTTTATATGCCATTTGATGACTAACAGCAGTATTTTCTGCATGAACAGGAGCAGTATGAGCTGTACTGTGAAATGGGCTCTACCTTTCAGCTTTGTAAGATCTGTGCTGAGAATGACAAAGACATCAAGATTGAACCATGCGGTCACCTCATGTGTACTTCCTGTTTTACTGCCTGGCAGGTACCGTAACAAATCTTATCACAGAAGTCCATTTCAAAGTTATTAAATATTGGTGGTATTGCATGTGTTTATGCATTTGTTCATTGTCACACTGAGAAATGTTCTGTCCAGTTGGGTAATATAATGTTTTATTTGTGAGCCTGCATTAATGAGCCTGCATAGAAGTTTGAAAAGACTTCTGAAAAATACAGTCAAAGCAGCTTTCTTCAGCAGTCAGTCCAACAACCCCCCCCCTCTCTTCCTTACTCCTTCCCTGTACACATGAATATGTCCAAATTGAATTTTCACATATCAACAGAAGTGAAAACTGAGACTATATGCACACAATATATTCCAGTTTTTCTGCTTGTGGTTCTCCTTGTGGTTTTCTGCTTCCTGTTGTCTTTGTATGTAGTGTCTCTCACAGCAACCTGTCCTACACTAGTGTATTTATTGTGCCTCTTGTTTGTGCACTGAAAGCTGTATGAGCAGTGTCTGTAAATGTTACTCTCATATGAGTCATTAGCATGTCCTGTTCTCCCTTTTTTCATACGTATCCCTTCGCTGACCATGGTGTTGTAGTCATGTCTCTTCAGACTTGCTAGAGTTCTGCACTGACCCTGATGTTATTAATCTCTGGGCAGATTAATAACACATAATAACATGTGACAGTCTACACATTTTACTCTGAGGGGCTTAAAACAAGACCAAAAATGTGGCAAACATTCACAGGACCTTTGAGTGTTTTTTGCAACACTACAAACACATTATGGCTTGTACAAATGCACCTAACAGCCAAGCTTACAGCCTTGAAGAGTCGGACAATAACTTCTTTAAAATGCACTGCTGAAAAGTTAATACAAAATGAGTCCATGGTTTCCCATTGTCATTATAACTCTAGAGTGCTTTAGGCTATTCATATAAAATACCAAACACTGGCAGATCTATAAAGTGTGTGTTTAAACCTATCATTTTCCTTCCCATTTAATGTACTGTATATATACAGTATGTACAGTGGTCCCTCGTTTACCGCGGTAGTTACGTTCTAAAAATAACCCACAATAGGTGAAATCCACGAAGTAGCTAACTTTATTTTTTTTTACAATTATTATAGATGTTTTATAGCTGTAAAACCCCTCACTACACACTTTATACACTTTTCTCCAACAGGCTCGAACATTTCCACACTTTTCTCTATGGTTTACACACTCTAAAAGTTCAAAACTTCGTAGAAAAATAAGACCAGTATTATAGAATAAAACCGAAGGCACCCACGGTTGCCTTTGGTGCAAAACGTTTCATCGACATTTTTGTGTTTGCTGGAGAAAACTTACAAACATACAGTGCAGCACTTCGGAGTCACACTGCTAGCGATCGACGATTTATGTCAAATTGACAAGCTGAACGCATTCTGTACTTAACAGGAGAAACGGCACGGAGGAGATTGATTGACAATGGTC